GGTGGGAACCCACACTTCTCGAATATGCGTAGCAGATCGTAGTACTGCCCGTGTATGTCGCCACAGAGGCGTACAGGTGGGCGGATCTCCAGCAGCATTGGCTGTGACATGAATACATCGCGTACCTCCGTGAGAACATTACGTATATCCTCCTCACGAATAAGGATCTGCTGCTGTGTGGTGCTTCCTTTCGCAGTGAGAAGTTTTTCCAAAAGGTTTNCGTAGCAGATCGTAGTACTGCCCGTGTATGTCGCCACAGAGGCGTACAGGTGGGCGGATCTCCAGCAGCATTGGCTGTGACATGAATACGTCGCGTACCTCCGTGAGAACATTGCGTATATCGTCCTCCCGAATAAGGATCTGCTGCTGTGTGGTGCTTCCTTTCGCACTGAGAAGTCTTTCGATGAGTGTCTGCACGAGTATTATAACTGGTGCCCGAGACATTTTTTTTTCAGGAGTCGTGATGTCTACTTGCCTGTCTTATGCTCGTTTTAAGGAGGCCTTCTTTCTTATAGCCGCTGACAGAATATTTCGACAGTTGTACGTTTATGCTTATACACCTATGTCTGTGTGCGGCCTTTTTTTGTGCTTTGCCGTAGACTAGGCCTTTTATTCGATGTTCTTGCTTTGAGGTATGAAGCGCACGCCGGCAAGCGGTGGTGGGGCTTGAGCTCAGCTGCCACCACAAGATCTTGCGCAGGCGCAGCTAAGGATGGNTATGAAGCGCACGCCGGCAAGCGGTGGTGGGGCTTGAGCTCAGCTGCCACCACAAGATCTTGCGCAGGCGCAGCTAAGGATGGCATGGGAAACAAAAGCGGAGGAAACAACAAATGGCATCCTCCGTGGAGGCGCCTCACTGCACTCGGGCGTGGCAACACATTGTGACTGTGGCTTCTTGTGGGACGACGCCGGCACAACGTCAAACGCAACCGCAACATCACAAGATTGGAAATGAAGCAATACGAAAAAGTGGCAAAGAAGGAGTGGAGAAAGGACATACAGAGTATTTGCTTGTTTTTTTTTTGTTCGTCTCTTGCTCTTGTCATTGCGCGTTCACCCCCACACTGATTCGCCGCTTGGAGCGAGTGCGGGGCGCGCGGCGGAAGCGAAGCTCCCTCCCGCCGGCGCCAAGCGGGTGAGACGCACCACACACACATTGCCGACAGCCTTAGGCCTACTGCTGCGCTTTTTTTTTTATTTCGTTTATGGTTTTTTTTTTTTTTTGCTGCCGTTGTGAGGGGTAAAGAGGCTGCACCACGACGGGGGAAAGAAGGATGGTGTGGAGGGCGAACGAAAACTAAAAAACAAACAAAATCATCGAGGGAGGCGTTGCTACGCGGCTCGCTGACACTACAGGCGTGAATGGAGAGACGCAGTCCTCTTCCTCCTCCTCCTCCTCCAGACCCTCCGCCGCACCAAAACGGCAGCAGTGGCAGCAGCAACGTCGACAAAAGAAGAAAAGAGAGATTGTGCAAAGGCTTGGAGCGGCTGGGAATGAAAAGGAAGAAAATGACCGACTCAGCGATTTGCCCTTTCATCGCACGCACCATCACTTCTACCACTTCACCTCTCCCCANGAAAAGGAAGAAAATGACCGACTCAGCGATTTGCCCTTTCATCGCACGCACCATCACTTCTACCACTTCACCTCTCCCCATTCGCCCCTCCCTAACACGCTCACTGGCCCAACTTCTCTTACATCGCCTCCTCCACGCCAACCCGCTTGATGAGCAAGGAAGCTGGAAACACTCAGAAGCAGAGCATTAGGATGTGATAGCCTACACCGTTTTATCCTTTTCCCGCTGTTTCCGTTTAATATTCATTTCACTTTACATGAGCACCAATCATCTACCGTATTTCGCCAACTGTTGGAGTACTTGCGTACATTAAATCAAACAAAAAAACATAGGAAAAACGGTGGGAGGAGGATGGGGTGCCGTCACATCCCTCCTGCAGACGCCCAGAAAGCGCTTCCCCCCATATTCTCACCCCACCCATCTCTCTTGCTATTCCATTCCCTTTCATTCACTCGCACTCCCTCCACAGCGGCGGCGCTATACGGCAGGTTGTAACCGCGCAGAACAGAAGTAAGGCCGTGCCTACTCCACACTCACATCTTCATAACCTGAGACGCGCTTCTACCAAGAAGGCGAAGCAATCGTTGGCTTTGTTTTTACCGAAAGACTCGGCGATTGCAGAACACACGATCCGAAGCCAAAAGTGAGTATCATACAGCTAAACCAAAGGGAATGTACACCACCCCCAACACGAACCACATCCACTGAAAAGAGGGGGGCTACAATAAGGGAGATTATCTCGAAATGACAGGGGCCTTTTCTACATGCATGCTGAGTCTTGCTGCGCTCCCAGATCCGATCATTTGATACACAACGGCACGCCACAGGACATGAAAAAGAAGCTCCAAGAGGATATAAGGTAAACCGAGCATATTACGAGCGAAGCACACTATGTGGTCGCCGGAATGATGAGAAACGAGCACTG